GGTTCGCCGTCCCGGGCCAATGGGGGCGGTGGGAAGCCGCGGCCAGCACATCCCTCGCCCGTGCCGCTTCTCGCCGCCCCCATTGGCCTGGGACGGCGAACTGCGGACAGTGGGGGCCGCGATCGGCCGAACCTGCCACGTCAGCAGGTAAATAAAACTGGCCCAGCCCGCGAGGGTGCTTACCCTGGCGAGCCGCGTGCCGAACGTTGCCGACCCCTGCTCTAAGTTCTGTATTAATATGCCTAGTAAGGTATCTATTTGTCAAAAAACATATTCTGAATCTTTTTTGTCATCTGTATTGTTACAGACATACTTGCTGACAGGTATTTTGAAATAAATTACCAAAATAATTGAAACTGCCATGATTATATTGTGTTACTTTGACAAATAAAATATGCAGAATTTTAAAATATTGTGTGCAGAATTTTTAATTTTTTGGCGCAGAATTCCCGCAGGAGTAAAATTAAAGCATTACATACCCAATGCTTATTACATGTGCTAGCATAAGAGGGTGAACTATAATAACCAACAACCAAAAAGAAATCGTTAAGTACTGTCTGTATTAAAATAGCCATTTGCGGTAATTAAGCAGTTGCTTATGTGCCTTAGCACCAACTATTTGCACAAAGATAATAATTTTATGCATGGTCCACTATAAGTGCCTGAGCATAAAATGAAATGGTGACCTACACTTAAAGGTTTATTTGCAAATATTATGCACCCATTATTTGAGAGTTGCTTTCATTCCGGGCAATTCAATGCTCCTATTCTGCAGACAGAGAATAAGGAAACATGTATGGCATTCTATTTAAACGTACTGTAAAGTGCTGTGTCTGCACTTCTGATTCTATAGATAAAACGTCTGAACTCTCATTTACTCTAAGGCTACTTTGCACCATTTTGGCAGTGTACAGAAACTGTAAAGTGAGCGTAAATTACATTTATACTCTCTTTGAGACCCTTTTACACTGCCAGAGTGGTGCACAGAGGCCTTAGTGATAATTAGGCTCAAAGAATAAGCAATAGCTTTTATTTTACTAGTGTGGGGGTGGAGGGTAAATATTCCATCCTATCACAGTGCCCCAAAATGCTAAACTGATAAAGCCAAATGCACGTGTTGCCCAAAAGAGTCTGCAAGACACATTTCAAAGAAACCTTTGCCACTGTTTTCCCCACAGAGCAACACATACAGGTTAAATATAACAGTATTAGTTAAAAGTGGATTCCACCTTGTTAGACATGAATAATTGTCAATAAAGTGCAGTGCAGTCCAGGAGTGGAATTCATGTAAATGGGCATGTGTTTCAGTTTGAATGTACAATCTGCAGCTTCTTGCAACATAGCAGCTACACGCAGCATGCAAAGCTCCTTCCTGGTCTGCTGGAAAGAGAAGGGAGGGAGGGTAGAATAAGAGATGGAAAGAGATGAATGCAACTTGGGAAGAGGGAAGATGTGGCTGAAATAGCCAACTCCCAGTTGAGGAGAAGTGAGAGCCAACAGAAAGAACCAAATGTGGTTCAGGGTATCAGCTCTTATTTTTTTCCCGTGTGGTCATTATTGCTGGAGGGATGTCTGGTTTCTTCTGATAGTAAGTTGTCTTGCACACGTAATTAACAATATTGGACCAGATGCTTGGTCCTGCTTCAGCTTCTCTACATTGCTCCAGCAGTGCCAAGAGGCATTTAGCTCATTTAGCCAGCCTCCTGAGGACTCCTCCAAGCAAACAAAACAGGCAGAGCCGTGATCATGTCGGGAAGGGGTAGTCTCCGGGGCTGATAGAGACCTGAAAGTCCTCTGATAATTCAGATACGTTTTCGATAGCCATCCAGCTCTTGTTCTGGCCCTCTCAACTCTGTGATCGTCTCCAATCACGTATTTTAAATATAGATGGGGAATATCAAATGCAGGATTTCAAACGTCTCTGACAGAGATGGAGATAGAGGACAGAGCTTTGGCCTGTTGTGGCAGCTTTGCACCAGTAGAGAATTTGGAATGTTTAGAGAGATCCCCAGCATGGGGGGCGGGAAAAGAGTCCCAGAGTCCTGGTGATGCCTGTTGGTAGCAGTTGCAGTTTAGACCAGTTTTCATGCTGCTCTAATCTGAGCCAGGTGACTGGCCCATTGTTCAAACTGGCTGAGTACTGGGGGGGGCAGGAGGAGACGGACACGAAATTACACTGGCTTTCTTTTCCCTCCTTTGATCTTGTCAGGAGTGCAGCTCAGCCAGACCAGAGAATTTGGCCCATAGAAAGTAATGAATGCAAAACAATTCAGAGCCAGAGGCATTGCATTCAGATAGGTAATTGGGCCACTAAATGGAAAGTGTGGTTTAAGGTCCACAGATAGACAACTTGACTGGGGGGGGGGTGTTGGAGAGTAGCAAATCAGAAGAGAGCACAGATTAAATGGAACAGTCATACCGTGCACTGAGGATTCAAGAAGCTTATTTAGGGTTTAGAGTAGAAAAATCTTTGAAGCTATCCATTCTGTGTATACCTGCAGTAAAAGAAAAAGCAACAAGGACACAGAGATGCATCAACAGAGGGATGGAATACAAATCATAAGCAGCAAAATTCTTTCTGTAATAAGCACTTCACAAGAAGAATCTTGTCCTCAGTTTTAATCACCTCTTATGTCAGATATTTTTACCTTAGACTAGGTGCAACATAAGGCACCCAAGGTTGTTCAAGGTTTTTAAGAAAATCTGTTATCAAGACAGGCCAAAGTGGTTGAATTTATTCTTGCTAGAGAAGAGATAACTTTGAAGTGATGGAATAGAAAGTATTTCATTTCATTTTCAGAGCATTTTAGATATTATACAATGTGATTAAAAAAAAACCAGTGGATATAATCTGAAATTTGGAAATAATGGGCCAATATCTGCTGTCAATTACAGCCATGAAACTCCCATTGACTTCAATGAGAGCCACAAGTGTGCATGGAATCGGAGAATCTGGCCTACAGAATGTAAGGATAACCATTCCACTCAAAGAGTAATGAACGTACCATAATACGCTGCCAAGTAGCATTATCGCCACAAAGCCTCAATGAGTTTATGAAACAGACTGATATTTTTATTAGGGGAGCGCAGACCGAAGTACAGGATGAGAAAATGGTAAAAAGGGACAAGTTCACTAGGCCAAGTGGCCTTTTGATGTCCATCAATTGCTAATTGTATTTCTAATTAATTTCGCCATTCAAACAGCCAAGAAGCAAAACAGAGATTTTAGAGTGTGCTGTGAACTCGGCAGAGACTTGGACAAATAATAGTATAAAATGGTTTATGAAACCAGAGGGTTTATGGCCTATAAATAACTTCCATGTATTTTTTATTCTTTCCACGTACCATATTACTGAGGACTGGATGATAGCTTTTCACTGCTGCCTGGTTGACTTCTTGCAGATACACACCCAAGGTAATGACGATATTGATCCTGGAGAGACAATTTTTGCGACAGATAAAAAAGCCACACAACTGGCTTAACAGAATGGGCCTAGCAATGCGGTGGCAAAGCTTTGGTCCTTTAAGTGAATAGCAATTGGTTTAAAATCCTACATCCTAATATCTTCAGAGGTCTGGAACAGCGGTAGAAAAGAATAAGACATCTAGAAATGACTTAGGGCGGCCAGCACAGCTAGCACTTTAATGTGTAACCACCTGAATTTGATCTAAATCTGTTATTAATCAGATTATATATATATATCTGTGTGTGTGTGTGTGTGCGCATCATAATAACTCAGTGACAACAAGAGACTGACTAAGCAAATGTTTCTGATCTTTAGGGCTAAACCATCCTTTTTTGGCTAAAATGTGTGCTTCAAAATGTGCCTAATTTCTGAAATCCATGTATGTGACACCGCTTGGGTTTCCATGACTACTGCTCTGAAAACCATATTAATTATTCAAGAGATCCATGCCATTCTCCATTCATTCCATAAGGAATGCTGGGAAACACAGCCTGCCTTTATGGAAGGATACAGATAGTTTAAGGACTGCATGGCTCTAAATTCCACAGATGTTTCCTTACAGCACCATGACATTTACATGAGGAAAGTCCATAAATATTATTTAAACACTTTGGTACATGAGTAAAACAAAAATCTTTCCCCCTTGCTTTTTATATTTCAACTATCTTCAAAATATGCTTTAATTATAGTCTCTGTTTATCATCCTGATATAATCCTGTTTTAAACAAAGTCAACTAGCTTGCATGCAGCAGGGATTAGACTCCAGTGCTATTCTAAAGGATGTAGTTTCAAATTGTGAAACTTTCATTAAATCAAATTTCTCACATAAGCTGTGACTAAGCATCTGTTTGCCATATCTGTTGATCTCTGTAGGGTTTAATAACCATAATCAATGTAGGCAGCACTCTTCATAGATAACATCAGCAAAATACATTCTAACGACGTAAGAAATGTCTATGTTCAAGTACTGTAATACATACCACTGCTGACTCTCTGCCATAGCTAAACCACCAGTGCCAATCATTTAATAGAGCAGCAAAGGTGCATTACAGGAGCAATTATAGAGAAGAAAAGCTAGTGAGCCAGATTCCCCTTTCAGTTGCACCAGTATAAATCTGCAGCAAAACAAATAGCATTACTCCAGATTTACACCTGAGTGACTGAAAGCATAATCTGGTCCAGCATCAATCTTCACAACACCGAGTCACTTGAGATGTCAAAGCTGGCATACATGTAATACTCAAACAATCCCCATGGAAAAGGCCTGTAGAATGTAATAGAGAATAACAACAACCTTTCTGCAGAATTTTTAAAGCCAAACTACAGTACAGAATTCTATCACTACTGTAGATACTAAATCTCTATTAAATGTGATTGGATTCTTTAAAAGCACAGAGAAAGGATGTCGTTCTCTATTAATTTCTACAGGCTTAGAGGGTATTTTCATGTAGAACTCTAATTTTTCTTCTGGAACCCCATTGGTTTCACATCTCTATTACATTCTATATGACTTTTCCATAAGGGAGTGCTTACGGTATTAGAGATGAGCAAAAGGCATAAGGTTTAAATCTGAGTTTGGAGGTGAATCAAAATTTCTCCAAACTCTGGAGATGGCTGGGGAGCGAGTGTGTGTGTGTGGGGGGGTGGGGGTGGGGGGGGAAGTAAGGGGGTTGTTCCTGTGTCCCAATCCAGGCCCATATCTAGAATTTATATATAATGATCTATTCATCCACATACATCTAATAATGTCACTAAACTAAATACTATAACTTGAAGGGACACAGTCAAACTGAAACGTATTCAACTGAGAAAGAGTTAAAAGTAGTTTCAGAAATCACACCTATCCATAAGTCCATCTATCAGTTTTTGTTTTTATAACCATTTCCCTATTTTCAGTATGTCTTTTCAATCTCCTGTTGGTGTGTGAAAGACGCACACAAACAACAGGGGAAACTGAGGACCCCAGCCAAAACCTACGCCCTTTGCCTCAAACCTTGACCAACTATATACAAGGTGCAATCACATACACAAGGTGAGCAAACTAAAGGAGAGAAATACTTTCTGTAACCTCTTTTACAGCTACAAGTAAGAGCTAAGATTACTGTAACAATACTATTTTAAAATGTTCAGAGAGAAGTGTGATTTTTAAGGTGACGGTGTCCCTTTACAGCTACTACCATACACACTTTTATTTATGCAAAGCTGCTGTGGATTCTGTAATGGATACATTATAGTGGGAAAAAAGACTGAGACATTGGACTGAGAACCAGGAGACATGGATTTTCTTTCTGGCTTTACCATTGACCTGCTTGGGCAGGTCACTTCCCCTCTCTGCATCTCTATTTGTCCACTCACCTTTTATTTGTCTTGTCTATTTAAATGGTAAGATCACTGCAACAAGGACTATCTCTCACTTTGTGTACCTATAGTGCCTAGCATAATAGATCCCCACCTTACTCGAGCATCTTGACACTGCTATAATAAGCAGCAATAATAATTTCAAACTCCTAGTTTCCAAGATGCTCCTAGGCATTTCTCAAACATTTCAGTGAAGGCACAACCATCATCATCATCATTATTCAGTTTGCAGCTGCAGCACCCAGAATCTTTATGACTCCCAAGTTCTCACTTGCCATACAAAGTGCTCCATCCAAATACAGAGAAAGAAGTAATTTCCTCAAGAGCAAGGTGTGAACAGAACATATTTAATTCTGCACTGTTATATTAACTGTATAATGTTGCACTAAAATTCCACAACAATGTGATTAAAAATTATACTGAACGACAATACCAAGGTGCCATAGCCAGTCAAAACACATTTATCCAATCTAAATGCTATGCTAAACAAATAAAATAAACATGCAATTTGCTAATTAAAGTGTACTCTCATGTATCCTGTAACCACCATCAATTATACAACATTTAATTTTTTTACTATTTAGTAACGTTTATGACTCCGCTTTACTAAATTAAACACTGGAAAAAGAGGGGGGAAATAGTAAGAATGTATTGCCCTTTCTCTCAGGATTTATTTTGTCAATAGATTTAAAAAAAGAATTATACCCTCAAATAATAGTATTTTAATTTTAATGTAGGTTCTTTCTGTTTTCATTTCAAAGCCATACACCCCCTCCCATCACTACCCCAGTTTCCAGCAAACTACTTTTAGTAACACTCCAGTTAAGGAGGCTAAATCATCTTGTACATCCTATCTGAACAATCTTTCAATTAGAAACCTAAGCTTATAGACAAGAGGTCCCCAAATCACGGGGCGCACCCCCCTAGGAGGGTGCTGAGGAACGTCTGGGGGCCCAGCTCAGCCCCCCGGGGTGGCAGGGAGGGAGCAGCCACCCAGCCCTTCCCTATCCCCAGCTCTGCTCCAGTCCCTCCCTCAGCCGGGTCCCCAGCTCCTGGCCCAGTCCCCAGCGCTGGCGTGGCTCCGTTCCCCACCTCAGTCCCTCCCCCAGCCGCGGCCCCACACAGACAGGGGTAAAGGAGGTGCCACCCTCAAAAGTTTGGGCACAATTGTTATAGACTCTATGAAGGGTCAATAACGATTATGACTCTCTCTTTTTCTACTATTCAGCTTCAAGAGGTGAATTTCTTGTCAGAATTTGTGTCCTTTCCTTTCCTTCAAAACAGATAGTAAAGATTACACACAAATTGACTGGATTGTAGTGTGACTTGTGAGTCTTAGGTTATCTTAAAACCAAAAAGATAAAGAATCCTTGAGTTCTGCCCTAGTGGAAATTTGAGAAATTAATTATTTTTTGTTTTCTTTTAAAATATGAGAATAGACTCAAAATCTTAATTTGCCTGGATAGCAGGTCAGCTGTGGTGTGCACATCTCAATACGATTTTTTATGCATCAGTGAGGTCTGGTAAAGAGGGGCAAGAAACAAAGTGGCCAAGTCTGTTCAGCTTGGCTTTTTTCTAGTTTCTGCGCAGACCACTAAACAGTTCATGGACGATGTGGGATGACTTTTGAGAAGCGACTTTTCCCCCTGTTTCCCTCCGACTTATATGTTATCTTGTGTTCCTCAACTTCCGCTTATATCTATATATGAAATATAGAGTGCACAGTATTAATACAGCTCATGTAGAAGCAACTGTGCTGTTCATTTTAACGTACATCAGTGTGTTGTTTAAATACAAAACAGCAACCAATGACTACTGGGACTCTTCCCCTGAACACTTAATTCCTCAAAGATGACCATCCAGGTGGAAGTTAAAGATCCCATGGCATTTTTTGTTTTGACAAGTGCACAGGACAACCTTGGTGTCTTGCTCAACAATGCTTCTATAGGAACAAAGATTCTAATCTCCATGGCTATTGCATGAGCTATTGTTCTGTACACAACACTACATGTTCCTATGCCATCTCTACCCTACAGTATGCCAACGGCAAAACCAAAATCTCTATAAAACTAAAGAAGTAATCACATGCTCTTTTGCCTTACAGTGCTTCTGAGAAAACCAGAGTTTGGCAGACTTCTATGCATTCTGCATTCCAAAGAAAGAGAACATCCTTAAGACCAAACGGAACAGGCAACTACCGGGAGAATGGCAGAAATCCACCGTTGGAAGCCTTTTAAATGAACATTTAAGGGAACCAGGTTCCCTTATGCAATTCATATGCAGAGTCTTCTGTTTTAATTTTAGGTTTCCTTGATACAACAAACACGATGCAACTGTTATTTTTCTTTTTCCTGCATGATTACAAAGGAAAGGACAGCACAGATGCAACATAATATATCCATGACACTCAAGAGTAGCCAGGCCATTTCCATCATCTTCCTAGTTGCCATTTCATTAAAATCTTTTGGCTCAAGCCCAGATTGCTCCAAGAACCCCAAATGGTAAAACTGACAGATTTAATCAAGTAGAGTGTATAATAGAAAATCATTCATTTTACTACTGTGTCTTTTTTTAAATCATGGCACTTACCTCTTAATAT